TTAAGTTAGCAAGGTGATAAGCAAGCACCATGTGTCCATAGACAAATGGCTTCAAAAACATAAAGCCAGCCCATATGTTGTTATACCAGACAATGGGGATGGAACATGCAGCACCGAGAATCTTATGGGAACTTCTGGTTACATGGACTCTTCAGTCAGAGGGTCCTCTGGGTGTTGGCAAGTGCCACAGAAGCTTCCATATCATCAGAAGTCTCCATATGCCTGGCAAAGCTACATGTTATATCCTAACAAATGTCATCCCCATGGGGAGGATTCAGGGAGTGCAGATATGTTAACTTGTATGTACTGACATGTAGGAGAGGACTGAGGGAATATTCTGATTCTGAAAAAGTACAGCCAAGCCACAGAAAGTGGTATGAACTACAGGACACAACTTCCTGAGAATTGCAGCTTGAAATTTAGTCTTTATAGCGGTGAAAAAATGCTTGAAGACATCTGGCCAGTACATGGCATATTCTGAGAAGCAAGAAGAGTTGCTTAGGGAGATTCTCAATAAGCAGGGCCTCAGTACCATGTACAGGTTCTTACCCTAGCACTAGCACAGAGTAAGTTATGCAAATAAAGGAAATAAAGCAAACCTCCTTGGGTCAATTAAATTCAGCAAGCTATAGAACTCAGCAGAGAGTGCACATAGCCCAGCCTTGCAGTAGTGAAGTAGAAAAGATGTGCTTCCGTGTTTCCTCTTACAAATATCTCCACACTTTTCCTCCTATCTACCAAAGGGAAAGTGGAGGAATCTGTTTGGTCTTCCGGATGAGGTTATTATTCTGCAATTGCCCTGCCTTGTTCTCAGGGATTTATATGGCTATTCAGGCAATGTCGCTATCACCACACGCACAGAAATTTAAGGAAGGAAAGGTGGAATAACTGTATATGCCCTCTGCCTGGTAATGCTAGGAACCTTCTGTCTGGAAGTACCCAAAGATGAATAAAAAAGAACAGTTTTGGCTTCAGGGTTTATCTTAAGCCAGCTCTGAGAAAGGGGAGATTAAAAGGAGTTGAAAGGTGCAGAAATGAAATATCCAAGCATAACAAGAAGCTGTTCTCCAGTGTTTCAGTACCATCAATCCATACAGTCTATGACTCTTCCATTTCCTGGGTCAATCAAGATCTGGGTCACACATGTATGCAACATCATTCCATGTATCTACACATACTGGCTACACACATTCTGGTATTATTGAACACATAATTACTCTATGTGCGACGATGGAAAGTGAATGCCCGACCTGATTCCACTGAAGAGTAATGTGTTCTGTGATATGGTGAGATACCAAAGTTCTGTAACCAAGTATTTCATCTGCGATGAAATCAGAAGTTCATCTGCGATGAAATACTGTGATGGCCAATTTGCATGTGCAAGTCACCGCCGGATAGCTTAACCATCGAGTATGCACTGTCCCCAGGTTAGATACAAAAGTTAAGAAAGAACTTGCACCTTATATTGAAACCACCTTAACAGAATTCCTCACTACAAAAGAAATTTTGGCCTTTTGCAGCATCTAGTGAAGGAATTTTGGTCTTTTGTGCTTGTTCTTGGTCCCAATGAGTCCCACTTTCACCTGGTAAAGCAGATCCAATGACTACCCATTACAACCCAGTCTCAATCAAACTGGTCATTCAGGAAATACTGCCACTAAAGGGGGATTCTATGTATTTTGAGAAAACAGAAACCATGATAAAGAGAGCAGAAGTAACAGGCACGCACACGAAGGAGGTATAGGAAGATGACGTGGATAATGAGCCAATATCCACCTCCTCATTGTCAGTCTCCAATATGTATTGGCACTTCAGTCTATTACTCATTTTTATTTAATTTTTCCAGTTCAGTTTCAGGTCTGTTGCGCCTGCAGGGCTTACGGTAGATTATGATCTAAATGCAATACGCCCACAATATCAGGTATTATTGTTAGAGAATATGAATGAAATTTTGATTTTTTGAGCATATTAAAACTGACAGCCCTGAGTTAGTTTCTTGAAGGTAATCTTTTCTGCAAATTACATCCAGGAAAAGAGTCCATCCCACCTTCATTCTTTCCTTTTGTCCATCCCATAGAAATTGTACAAGAAGAGTTCTGCAGTTAAGATGGGGAATGCTGTCAGCTCTTTTCCCCTCTAAACTTACACAGATCCTGCCTTTAAATGCTTAATTAAAAAGTCCCCATTGACAGCAATAGTAAAATAGTCCCCATTTCACAGCCACAAACTATGCATCAAGCAAATATCTAGTGTGGCCCTGATTCTCACTGAACTCAGTTTACTTCTGGGTAAACACACAGATCAGTTTAAAAAGCAGTTTTTAGGAAGAAAGAAGTTAAGAAATGGGTATAATAATATGAGAACAGGAAGAAGCTGTGATGAAGATCTCAACAGGTTGTACCATCTCTCCCTTTTCCCACCAAACAAACATAATTACCACTCTAGGACTCACAACTGTGTCAGGAGAATTCCAATGCAACCAGCCAGCATCAGAGAAACACAGAATACCTCTAGGTTGTATTACCTCTGTGGCATACCTCTGTATGTCTCTACTGCATGTGCGTATAATTCCGTATAGAGCTATCACATTTTTAAAAAAGCATACTGTACACAAATAATACAACTCATTTTAATTGTGTTTCTTAGACCCTGGATCCTCTCATAGCTTCTATATTCTCATGAACACCACACAACTGAAGATGCTGATAACTCAGTACCTGAACGACTTACTTGAACTACCAGAATATAAAAAAAGGTTTATTTGTTTGTTTGTTTGAAATGTTTATCTATTTTATACATAATGGTACAGAAGTTATCAGCTTACATCCCAATACTAAACATGTTACCTCAGAAGTAAGACCACCTGAGTTGGACCTATTCAACTAACCTCCTAATATGCATATTCACAAGATTGCAGCCTAAATATTGTAGGAGTCATTCATGTGAAAGATTTCCACACTTATTTGCTGCAAGAAGGACCCAGGTCTGAAGATTTATGCCATGTTTTCAGATGTGGTACATCCCAACAACAACACAATACTTTTGTATAAATGCATCATATATATGAAGCTTGCTGGGTCCAAATGCACCTCTGGGAGTTGGGATCCATCAGGGGAGCCATCTCGTCCCCAGTCAGTACCCTTTGGAAAAACGGTATGTACAATGTCCCTTGGAAAAATGGCAGCATGCTCCATTTTTAAAGTGTCTGGCAGCATGTCTATGAAGGGGCAGCATGTGATCAAAGTTTGATTTTATAAAAAAGAGAAAAGAAAGAAGAAAGATCACCTTGCTAGCTCATCTAAAGTAAATACTTTCTAAACTTCAACCTCCCTAACATTTGGCAATTCCTTCCAACCTTCGTGAAGTTTTTCACCATCTACAATAAAGAGTTAGCCTAACCTTAACATATAGCTCTCTAGCCCTGTAATGTTCTTCTGTTTCCCATTGTATTGTCTGGACAGTATTCAATGGGGTTCTTACCTTTGCCTATTTCCTCCCATTCTGCTGATCCCCTCCTGCAAACAGTGGATCCCACCAATTCCATTGCACAACCAGGAGGCACTGCTTATGCAAGGAGAACTTGGCACTCTGCCAACCTGCTGCCTTCTAGAAAGGAGCTTCCTCTAGGATGTGCTTGCTCTCCCTTGCATAAGGAGTGGGGGCTGCCTGTGCAACAGAAATTGGCAGGTCCAGGAGAATCTGCAGGGGTGTAACCACCTCATCGGACACTGATTGTGTGAAGTAGAGGTTGTGAGAGTCCCGGGGACCCTTATTTACAACTTGTTTACCATACATTTTAGGTGTTTTGACACAGAGGTGTCATGCCAAGTACTAGTACTCAGGTCCTTCTGTCCAAGTTCTTCACTCGAGGAAAGAAAATAGAGACCTTTGCACTTACATGAAAGTCAGAATGTTCAATGGTGAAACAACAGAGACTTGCTATTTTGCTAGCATATGATGCATGCTTGTAAGTAATCTAGTCCTCATGATTCAAAAAATTATCCATCAATTTGTGTTTTGCTGAAATAACAGCTACTTTGAAAGCTATCCCTCTATATCTTTTTCATGGACATATTAATTTGTATGTTTCTGGAGTATTACTGTGCATTGTTGCTCACACAGGGTGTAAGTATAACAAAGGATATTTTCTAACCTGCACAGCAGAAATAGTTAATCTATTTAGTGCCTAATGTGAACAGTGTCTGATCTGGATTCCTGCCCTTAAAGAAAAAATACAACCTTTGTGTGCCTCTTGTTTTTCACAAACTTATTTTTCCATGCCTGAAATGTGCAATAAATCTTAAAACAAATCCATTTGGATTCAACATCTGTAATGCAAATCCTGGTTGTTATTTACAAATCACTGAATTCCACTCAAGTTGTGGAATGTAAGCTGCAGTTCTGCACACATTTATTTGGGCATAAGTAAGCACCACTGAACTGAGTGGGACTTAGATTTGAGTAAAGAGGTCGAGAATAAAGCAGTTATGCACTTACTTGTGTGAATGTCCCATTGATTCCACTGATACCTAAGGGTGTCTAATGTTCTCTGAATTTCACTCTCAGATTCCCTTCCAGTATCCAGTCGACATTCAGTTTTGGACCATAGCCTTGCCAATGAATGTTTTTACCACCTAAATTTTTAAAGAGGCAGTCCAAAATGTCTGAGTTTTCCTCCTGACTGCATATTTACCATCTGAAATATGTTTTCTCATGATAACTCATGCAGGCTTTAACTGTTGTGACTAACTCTGGCTACAGGTGGTGTGGAAATGAAATAAACAACAACAATAACAATAATCAATCTTTAGAGAGAGAGAGAGAGAGAGAGAGAGAGATCACTTTGGATTGTGGCTGGCTACAGGCAAGGTACTAAGGCAGCAGATGTTTGCTCCTGTTTAAACTCGAACTGGGCACTAGGTCCTAGGAGAGCCTACTTTTAAAATGGTCATTACTGATGCATTGACCAAAAGAATAATCCATGCCCTGTTCAGACTTACCAGTTACCCTGCTTCTCCCGTCTTTCTCAGGAACTGGCTCTGTTGCTCGCGAATAGAGGGTTGTGAGTTCAGGGATCTGGGAGTAAATGTAATTTACTGCATCTGGTTGTCAGAGAACAGGGACATGTGGTTAGAGACAGCCTTCTGGAACCCAGAGGCTTCACTGCTTAGGCAGCACAGTTCTTAACCTATCACCCCACACAATAGACATCAGAAGCTTTGTGCCAGATCACAGCAAGCAAAATGCAGAGTCACTGTGCTTTGAGGGCCTTTCAATAGTCTAGCTGAGGTTGGAGGGAGAAAGATCAGATGACTAAAAACGTGTTTGGTTATATGTGCACAAAAGCATGTTCAGAGGTTCTAGATTTTATCAGCCCAGCAACAATTTTCTAGATTTTACCTGCAAAAATGCCACAAATCTTACAGGAAGTAACCTTATGTAAAACAAAGAGGCAATATTTATTTATTTATTTATTTCTAGCTCAGATTATAACTTTCATTGCTAACAAGTGAGTTCTGGTCCTTTATGATGTACTAAAACATTATGTATTAGTGGTTTTCTATTTATAAGCTGATGATGGGTGGCGCAGTGGTTTAAACCGCTGAGCCGCTGGACTGGTTGATCGAAAGGTCGACAGTTTGAATCCGCAGGAATGAGTGAGCTCCTGTGCTTTGTTCCAGCACCTGCCAACCTTGCAGTTTGAAAGCATACAAATGCAAGTGGATAAAAAGGTTCCGCTTTGGTAGGAAGGTAACAGCGTTCCGTGCACCTTGGTGTTTAGTCATGCCGGCCACACGACCACAGGGACTGTCTGTGGACAAACGCTGGCTCCCTCGGCCAGGAAACGGAGATGAGCGGCACCACCAAGAGTCAGACATGACTGGACTTTAATGTCATGGGGAAACCTTTACCTTTTTATTTTAAAGCCAAGATGTCTGTACTTAATACTTATTAGCATTGTTTGATATACAATATTATAATTTCATGATACTTTAAAGAAGTAAAATTTCATTTCCCCCTATCTTTTAAGGAATTTAAAGCAGCCTACAAAACTTAAGCAAATGCTTCTTAAACATTTTAAGGGCACAATCCTATGCTTGTTTAGACAAGACAATTCTACAACTCCCAGCGTTTCCTAGCCAGCTACGCTGCCTAAACATGCACAAGACTGCACTCTAAATGATAAATGTGAAACCAAATTGTACATTATTTTTAATGCTTCAGTGTGCAAATTCAAGTGACCTAACACAGAGGCATTTTTCCATCGCAGCTTACAACCTTCTCCCAAAAATGAAGACACAGAACCATTTATTTACAGCATGTCGTGCATGGCTGCACAGTATCTGGTAACAGATGCTGTATCTTTCACAAGGTTTTGTGCCTTTGGCAAGACAACTCTGTTTTCCTTTTCTAGCAGTTCTTCTAAGCAGCCCTTGCGGAAATCTGTTTCAACATTTGTAGATAAATACACAAAATATAGAAGCATCCTTCTCTGCATCTCATTATCGGGGGGTATGCTGTTGTCACTGCAGAACCAATAATGAATCTTTGGAAACCCAGAGCTACAGTAGGACTAGTATCATGCTATTAGTAGAAAACTAATAGGTGGGTTCTCCTATATTGTCTGACTAGAACTTAGAAAAGTAGACAGCTTTATTTCAGTTCCTTCTCTTATAAGGTATATCCAGATGAGGGGATTTACAGGTGATCAGTGACCTGACTACTCACAAAATACACATGCAGGTACTTAGATGGTTGTCTAACTATGAATAGCCAATCTTTGCTATTCCAGAACAAACTAGCAGGATCATTAACGGATGTAGATTCACTGTAAGTCACCCAGAGGGCTTGGGTTATTGGGCAATAACCCCGTGTATAATAATAAATAAATAAACCCCACCAAACTAGCATCACTAGCTGTAAACTTCCATCAGTGTGGTAGTTCCTTTTGCAGAGCACTTCCTAGCTGCCTGTTATCACTGCAAACTTCAGCACGGTCTGGAAGCATCAATGGTCAGGGTGTTCCATGGAAAACCCACAAAACTGAATGGTGTCATGTCTTAAGAATCAGAATTAAGACAACAATCCAATGCTTCCAAGTATTGTTCACAGATTTACTTTCAAGGGCATTCAATATTGAAATATCTGGTTATCAGTTCATTCAGATAGTTTACGACTCGATTCCTAATATGTATACATTTATGTGTGTGTAAGTTCTATTGCTCCTAGATGTACAAGTGGGGTGTTATTCTGATCTTCAGGCTGGGAAATCAAAGGAAATGCTGCCACCGGACCTAATTATTTTGAGAACAACTGTGCTTTCAGGCAGATAGGGGCATGGCGGGGGGTCAATATGCATGGGTGTAGAATGGGAAATTAAAACTGTGATAGAGCAACTGCAGATCCAAAATTAACATATCATTGCCACTTATAGATATGAATGGCAGAAGAAAACTACTTACCCCCATCTTGATGTGAAAAGCTCTGAAAAGACAAAAATATAGGAATCAATTATTTTTTCCACATGACATGCATTTCCATAGAATGTTTGAGTGTGTAAAGTGCTTTGCATATATTATATCAATACTACTTACAGCAGTTCAGTAATGTAAGAGGGCTGGGCAACTTTTTGTCTCTGATGCCTCAGTGGCAGTAGCTGAGCAGTTAGGGGCCACATGCTTTCCAGTTTTCCTAGGTTTTTATAACTGCTCATCACCAAGCATCCAACTAAAATGTGCATTTCAAGTACTCTGGGTAGCTACTAAGTTCATTCCATCCGGATGCAGGAGAGGGTCATTTCATCAGGCCTAAGAAACTGTTCTCTTCCTTTCATTCCGTCTAGTCGTCATATGAATCCAGCAACTTTAAGAGCTCAGGACTGCATTTTATTTCTTTTCTTTATGGGGACTGCCTTCATTTTTGCTGTTGCTATGAAACATATGCCATTCTGGTATCCTCTTTGCCCAAGGACTGGAGATAAATAGAGGCACAATCCTAAGTATATTTAGACAGCAAATGTGTTCAGGCTGGGAAATGTTGGAAGTTGTATGATTTTTGTCTAAATATGCATAGGATTAAGCTCTAAATAACTTTAAAACATTTTGAATTCACACTGTAAATCAGTTTTCCCTAACCCAATGCTCTCTAGATGTGTTGGACTACAAATCCCATAATTTCAGCCAAGATGCTCAATGCCTGGATATAATGGGAATTGTAGTCCAACACTTTGATGGCACCAGGTTGGGAAAGGTTGATATACACAATCCTAATTCAATTCCCTCCCTCTTGATAAAAGGTGTTCCTTTTCAGGTAGTAGCAATCATTGATGCATTAATAGGAGCAGGAAAACAATTTAGGGAAGCCAACCAACTTTATGGAACATTCTGTGGATATCCCACCACTTTCTGAAATATCCTGAAATGAACTGCAAGATTTATTCACTGGCATATATGAGGTTAGTGTATACAATTCTTTACATTCTTCAGATTAGATGATCTTTGGTCTGAAAAAGTTCAATATATCAATAGTATCGTCTGACTAAAGTGTTCAACTCACAAAAATATGAGGACGCTTATCAAGAATCATCACACACGCGCACACACACAAGTGGCTATACTATTAGGCATTTAACTCATGGGATTGTGCAGAATTCTCTAGAACATCTGCCTTACTTGGTAGTGAGAAATAAATAATCTATTCAGAATTAATCTTCTTTGACTGGATCTGGATTTTGTAAAATAGACTGTATCAGCAATTTCACCTTTAAAAAAACATTTAATATTAAATGTGCAGCACCAATCTGTAGTATTTATTGATATTAGACTAAAATCTGGCCTACGTCTCATTGCACTCTTAATAATCTCTAATATTAAACGTTTAATCTCTCTAACTCTTTTTAGGCTGCATTTCTATTCATAGGAGCCTGGAAGTCAGCCCCATTGAACTCAACTAGGCTTACTTCTGAATAGATATCCATCAGCTTTTGCTGTTACTGTGCATAGCCTTAAAATCTCCTATTCATTATTTATTTTATTAAAACATTTCTATGCC